CTCATCTGACATAGTCAGATGCAGCTTGTAGAATCGCATGAGCGTGCGTCAGTGCGTCCGTGCGTCCGTCAACAGTTGGGCACAAATCTAAACGGCTCGACGTACGGATTCGAACAGTCGGGACGTGGGGGGTAATCCGAAAACGAGTTGTGGATGTCAAAGCTGGGGGTCAAAGGTCAAAGGTCAAGAGGTGTAAAAGAAGGGGGAACATTCCCTCCTTAACTTAAGGTATAGGGAGGAAATGCAGAATTGCGGCACAAATCTTAAACGGCTCGACCTAAGGATCGTGATAGTCGGGTATAGCATCATGGTAGGAAAAGCCATCACTGTGTCGAAATTGGAGGTCACAGCGTTCAAAGGTCAATGGGGCACAGGGCAGATTTTAGACATTTTCTGAGGACATGGTGTGACGGAGCGATTGGAAAACTTTTTTGTTTCAGCGGTGACTAGCATTTTTATGGCTTTATTGAAAGGACCATGAAATGTGCTTTCCACTGACCGTGCGCAAGAGTAAGTGTCTGATAACTTTTGACCCTCAAGAGGAGGGATTTAAACATGGATTTGTTAACTGTTACTGTGTTAGAAAGAATTTGACTGCTGGGTTTGCTAGTAGAATCTATACATGCCTGGATGTATGAGCTACAATGTCACAGTGAAATTTCAAACAGACTAAATTTGCTTGAAGAAGGTTTATGCTCCTTAAATCGTATAATTTCTATGGCATTCTGTACGTCAGTGTGTTAATATGCCACTGCCAGTGGCCACTCGCCAAGTGCATGTGGTGGTGATAGTATGGTGTAGTTTTTGCCTGCGTTAATTAGGTACAGGTGGCAGCTCTCTATTTCAGCCTGTAGGCTTGTGTAGGTAAATGGACGAGTGCTTACCTATTCTGTCTTGCAAATAGTTGTTACTATACTACGTACGATGGAAGCTTCCAGCTACCAACGTACGCGCCATTCGTGGCAACTTTCATAAACGATCCAACGAATTTCTTCGAGAAGGCTCCTGATACCATCCCAGTGTTTGAATAAGGGCTATTCCGTTTGTTCGTACTTGTTTCATTTCCACGACGGAGGATCAAGTAGATCTGTCAGGTAGCTTGTCTGCTGACAACAGCTTTTTATAGAGCAATTTTTCATAATTTTCTACCATCGCTGGCCGCTGCTGGTGAAACCCGAGTTAACATACTGATAGTATAAACATGGGCTGCCGTGTCAATGGTCTGAGATTACCCCCAGTCTGAAATTACCCCTAGCACCTCGTGCGCATGCGTGACGCATGCGCAGTAGCGCTGGATAATGAGACTGCGCGGCCACAGTCTGAGATTAGTCTGGCAGTAGGAGGGTAAATTCAGGACTGCGGGGTAATCTCAGACCGGTGTCACGGTCTGAGATTACCCCCAGTCTGAAATTACCCCTGCAAATTATATCGCTGTGTGCCCATAGGTGGGTAAATTCAGACTGGGGTAATCTTCAGACCGGTCTGGAATTTGCTTCGCCGCCACATTATTATCTTAAACGCCGGCTGCCCATAGGAGGGTTAGGAGGAGGAGAGGAGGGGAGAAGGTGATGAGGAGGAGGAGGAGAGAGAAGGTTAAGTGGAGGAGGAGGAGGAGAGAGAAGGTTAAGTGGAGGAGGAGGAGGAGAGAGAAGGTTAAGTGGAGGAGGAGGAGGAGGAGGAGAAGAGACGGTTGATGGAGAAGGGAGGAGGAGGAGGAGGAGGCGAGAAGGTGATGGAGGAGGAGGAGGAGGAGGAGGAGAGAAGGTGATGGAGGAGGGAGGAGGAGGAGGAGGGAAGAAGGTGATGGAGGAGGAGGAGGAGGAGAGAAGGTGATGGAGTAGGGGGAGGAGGAGGGGAGAAGATGATGGAGGAGGGAGGAGGAGGAGGAGGAGGGGAGAAGGTGATGGAGTAGGGGGGACGATGAGGGGAGAAGGTGATGGAGGAGGGAGGGGAGGAGAAGGTGAGGGGAGAAGGTGAGAGAGAGAAGGAGAGGAGAGGGAGGAGAGGAAGGTAGAGGAGAAGGGAAGCAGGAAGGAAGGAGGCGAATAGAGCGTAATGCAGAGGAGGAGAGGATGATGAGGAGGGATGGAGGAGAGGCAGGAGGGAGGAGGAGGAGAGGAAGAGGAGGAGGAAGGAAGAAGGCTGATGCGAGGAGGAGTGATGGAGGACGAGAATATGGAGAGTAAGGGGGACGTAGTGAGGAGGAGAGAAGAATGCATGGAGGAGGGTAGGAGGAGGAAGGAAGGAGGGAGAAGGCTGAATGGAGTAGGGGGACGCATGGAGGCGGAGATAGGTGATGGAGGAGAGGAGGGAGACGGAGGAGGGAGGAGGAGAGGGAGAAGAGTGATGGAGTAGGAGGAGGAGGAGGGGGAGAGAGGTGATGGAGGGCTAGGAGTAAGGAGGAGGGGAGAGGTGATGAGTAGGGTGAAGGAGGAGCGAGAGGGAGAAGGCTGGTAGAGAAGGGGGGGCAGAAGGGAGCAAGACTGATGAGAGAGGAAGTGGTGGAGAAGGAGGAATGCTACGAACCAAGCTTCTCCCCGCTCGCCCCTTCTCCACCAGCTTCTGCGGACTTCTCTCCCCTCCTGCCCTCCAACCAGCGTTCCTTCATCCCACTGCCTTCTGCCCTCCTCCTTCCTCCACGCGAGCTTCAAATACCCGCCATCCTCCCTCCACCAGCTTTCTCCCATCCTCCTTCTCGCACCAACTCTCATCTCTTCTCCCCTTCCTCCTTTTCCACCAGCTATCTCCCTCCACAACCTTCTCACCATTCTCTCCCTCCTCCTCCACCAGCTCCCTTCTCTCCCATCCTTATCCACTTCTCTCTTCTCCCCCTCCTCTCTCCACCACTCCCTTCTCTCTTCTTACCTCCTATTCTCCACTCAGCATTCTCGCCCTCCTCACACTTCATCTCCCTTCTCGCCCTCCTCCATTCATCCACCAGCTCTCTCCATATTTCCCCCTCCTCGACTCACACCAGCTCCACTTTCCCCCATCCTCACCTTCTCCCTCCTTCTCCACCAGCTTTCTCCCCTCCTCCTCGCCACCCAGCTTGCTTGCCCCTCCTCCACCACCTTCTCCCTTCTCCGTCCTACCTGCTTCTCCACGCAGTTCCTCGCCCTCTCCTTCTGCCACCGACCTCTCATCTTCTTCCCCTCGGCTGCATCTCTCACCAGCTTTCCCCCTCCTCCTCCTCCAACACCTTCTCCCTTCCTCGCCTCCTCCTTCTCACCAGCTTCTCCCCTCCTCCTTCTCTAACCACCTTCTTCCTATCTCCTCCTTCCTCTTGCTGCCACCAAGCTTCTCCCTCTCCCCTTGCCTCATTCCTAGCCATATTGAGTCGGTCATACGGCCGGCCGTGCGTATAGCCATATTGAATCTGGCCACACGGCCGCCGTTATAGTCACTTCCAGTGTTTGAAGAGCAATAATAAACTGGCTTCTGTCCGGTATTTTTTGAACAAATGGCTAATACAACACTTGTAAAACCAAATGCGCGTTAAGAGCGCTGACTGCCTGGCGACGGTTGGCAGTCTCAAGTTAAACCAATACCAATTTTTGCGTACTGCGCTTATACACCCAGCACCCTCGTGCGCATGCTGGGCGATGCGCAGTAGCGCTAAGGGTAATTTCAGACTGGGGTAATCTCAGACCGTGACACCGCGAGACCACCCGAGAATTAACATATACTATAGTATAAACATTTGATGTGAAGTTGATATAAAAACGTTACCGCCTTGACTAGCTCCATCGAAACGGTCTTGCTAGGGGTTAGAAGACATCAGACAATCAGTCTGACTAGAAATCAGACGTCGTGTATAGACACTATCAGTCTGTAACAGCCTGTCCGCACCGCTACCGCGCCTCGAGAAAGAGAGAAATATGAGAGAGAGGAGAGAGAGAAGCGAGGGAAAGAGAGAGAGCGGAGCAGCAGCAGAGAGAGCGCGAGAGAGAGGAAAGCGAGAGAGAGAGAGAGAGAGATAGAGAGCGAAGAAGAGAGAGAGAGAGAGAGAGCAAGAGAGAGAGCACGTGAAAGAGTGAGAGAGAAAGAGAGAGAGAGAGAGAGAGAGAGGGAGAGAGAAAGAGAGGAAAGACAAAGACACAAGAAAAACGGAGACAACGAAGGAGGAGAGTGAGTGTGAGCGAGCGAGAGAGAGAGGAGAGAGAGGAGCGTGAAGGGAAGAGAGAGCAAGACGAGAGAGATGAGAGAGAGGAGAAAGAGAGAGACGAGAGAGAGAAGAGAGAGAAAGAAGAGAGAGAGAGAGCAGAGAGAGAAGAGTCGTGTGATCGAGCGAGAGAGAGAGAACGGCGAATAGTGTTGATCGAGTGAGAGATGAGGCAGGGAGAGAGAGAGCGCGTAAGGGAAGAGATAGCAAGAGCGAGAGGACGAAAGAGAAAGAATGAGAGACAACGGAGGAGAGAGCGAAAGCGCGGCGATGGGAGGCGTGCTCTTGATTTCGTTTGCCCCTGAGCTTTAATCAGAACACCTGCCGTCAGGTGAGCGCTGTCGCTCTGCGGCACTTGTTTCCCTTCTTGCTGTTCTCAACCCTGAACATTAACAATTTGTGTTTATTTACTACCATTTTATTATTGAAACTACCCAAGTGCCTGTGGTCATACTGGAACAGGAACAGGCACTTATGGCCTTCCTATAATAAAATAATAGTAAACAATTGCCAATAATATTTACTGCCATATTATCAGGAGTAAGATAATATAGGAGTAAGTAATATAGGAGTAAGATAATATATCCTATATTATCTTACTCCTGATATTATTATGCCATGCATTTTGCTTTTTTTTCAAAGTAAACTTCTTATCTAAAATCTGATTTTACTATGGAAATCGCTTGAGGGGTCAATATAAATTGTTAGCAAGAAACCTAGTCTATATAGTTTTATTCGTAATATGCACAACTGTTAAATTTCTTTCTGTAAAAAGTACATTTTGTTTTTGTTAAATCGTTATCTGTATCGTGAGTATGTGTTGTTTGAAACATTTCAGGGTATGACTTGTGTGATGCTTGGAATCCTCTGTGCTTAGGAAGAATCTATGGTCTAATTGGCAAATTTGAAATCCCGGGTAGGTGTATGTGTTAGATTTCTATTTTTTATGGTACTACCAAAAATATATCCAACAAAAAAGGACATTGCATGTGCCCACTGGATACAAGTTATAGGGCATGATAAACATTTAAAAAAATGCTACCATAGTAAATATAAAGTTGCCATTGCATAAGCACTGCAATTGCTTGCTGTTGCTATTTCAATGAAGCTAGAATTGTGTTATGGTTACAAATTAACATTTTATAGACTGTGAACCAAAGTTGCTAATAGTCAAGCAGCAGACTGTGGTGGGTGACTTGAGTGATGATCATCCTGTATATAGGATCGACCGTATCGCTGTGCTGCCTCTTTCTTATGCTGAACCTGAAGAACTCGCTTTGCAGGTGTGTCATCTTAAAAATAGTTTAATCAACTACTATGTACTAGTAACTAGTGTATGATATATATATTTTCAAGTATTTATGTATCAGTTCTATGTGTGTTTCCTATTATATACGTTCATGTGCTATGAAATCGTTGACCAAGTCTATTGTTGTTGTTGCTTAGTTATGCTGATAAGGTCTCTGTCCCCCAGGGTACTGCCGGAACGTACCCTGGGTGCGGTCCGGTATACCGGAACGTACCCTGGTAACTATCTAGCTGATATGGTTAGGGTTAGGGTTAGGGTTAGGGAGTAGGCGTAGGAGACTCCGTAGACTCGTTAGTGGAGTAGACGAGGTACGGTCCGGCATATTAGATAGTAGTATTTAGTACCAGGGTACGTTCCGGTATACCTCAGCCTTAGTTATATATTTGGGCACAAACCAGGCAAAAACTTCCTTGCAGTGCATTTTTAATTAGAGAATAGATAAATTTAGTGCTCTGTGCATGATGAAAGTAGAATTTGTAATTATTGAATACAATCCATTAATACTAATCCATTAATACACAATTTAAGATATAATAACCATCATATGGTCTGTTGTTGTTTTCTTTGACCATGTAACCGGGGTCATTTCACATCTGTGTTGTTACATCATTCAAAAACTGTAATATGAATTGATATGATTAAAATCAATGTCTTATTTCTCTGATAAAACAGCCATGTTCGAAGCACCATTTTGGAGTAGATTCGAGCAAGGTGAATCCCACTGCACCTGCGGACCAGCAGAAAGCTCTGCAGAAGACTTGGAACTCTTTTAAATCTGTCGGCTCAGCTGCAGCACAACGCGTCAAACAACGACCTGTAACTGTAAGCTGAAATTCAGATAGTAATGTGTTGTATGTAAAATGTTAATAATTTATGTGTAAGACATGAGTACATGAGTATCAGACAACGTATAATAATTACATATTATGTGTAAATAGTCTACTATATATAATATATATTATTAAATTAGACAGTAGAGTATTATTGTTCATTTGTCAACGCAAGGATTTTTCATGTTTTTTCTAACTGTTTTCGTATTTTCTCAACTGTTCTGATACTTACCGGTACTCCTTACGTAACACTCAGTGAATATAATAAGTAGGACAAACAATTGAAACATGTCACAGAACACTCGCACATCATTCTTTGACCAATATGTGCTCCGATCTGTATTTCGAAGGAGATTTGTTTACATATATCAACAAAACTAGCGTGAGATTTTCGCTCGCGCAAGATCCCACAGACCGGTACCCTGTCTCTACACTATATTGCCTATGTATACATTTCGAGATAGCTACCAATCTACAAAAATTTGCATCACGTAATTACGTGCACTTGTTTTGTGGGACTTTTAGAAAATTCCAGTCTAAAAAAACTCAAGATAGCAGGCGAACGCTTGTGACAATTTTTAGCTCACCTTGACATCGTCAAGATGGGCTATTGCCATGGGGCGTTGTCCGTCGTACGTTCGTCCGTCCGTCAACGTTTGGCTATGGTCAACGATTACTTGAGAACCGTTTGACCCACATGTTTCAAATTGCATACAGTTGTTACTCCTATGGGAGAGATGTGAACGTCCTTACCTATTTTGTGGCACGCCAGTTGACCTACTTTCGAGCCACGCCCACTTTTGGGCAAAAATGGAAATGGCCATAAGTCAGTTCAGGTTCAATGGATTTTGCTCATTTTCGGTATGTGAATGAATAAGGACTGGCCCCAAAACATCACACGGGTTTTTTTTTTTCAATTATGCAAATTAGGTAGATTTTGGCAATTTCACTATGCATTTCAGTGTCTGCCTACGGTCAACGATAACTCAAGAACCGTTTGACCCACATGTTTCAAATTGCATACAGTTGTTACTCCTATGGGAGAGATTTGAACGTCCTATTTTGGACCACGCCAGTTGACCTACTTTTGAGCCACGCCCACTTTTTGGCAAAAATGAAAATAGCCTAGATTCATTCGATTCTGTTAAACTTACCTACCTACCTACCTACCTACCTAATCATACCTATGTGTAATATTGTGTTATAGATTCTTTATTACAGTAATTTGACTGGAATATTTTTATTGCTTTTATTTGCACGATAATCGAAAACCGAAATGGCGATCATTTAGGCGTAGTGCCATCTCTCGCCCAGATTTCAGACTCAAATCTGAAACATTTATTTTCGCCTCAAAACTAACCCTGAAACAAAACAGTGAAATTTCTATTAGTATAAAACAGGGAATAAGGACATTTGATCACATTTTGGTCCGTCATAAACGAAACACTTCCCAAATTTTAAATATCATCTCCCTCTTCTATCACACCCAAGGTGAGCTATAGTGTCATTGACACTTTCATTATGCTGAAGTAATCTATATATATCAGGAGTAGATAATAGGGAGGAGTGTGACATCAATAAACAAGGAAGTTCTTCATTAATTACCTTTAATATACTACGGATTTTTACGCGTAACATCATCTCAACTTGAGGTCAATCGGAAAAGTACTATTCGGCCATCATTATAGAAAATGATTCTCTCGTGGACACCGCATCGGAGATCCTAAAAGTAGACCGTTTCCTTCTTGGCTTTCATAGTCAACCATTGCGGCCTATATTGCAACAAAGCAGATACAAGCATATTGCTTAATGACGAGTTGTGGCTCGCTGGGAATTAGGAATACACTCGGCGATGTACTTTGACCGGTACAACAGCTACACAGCATCCTTTGTACATAGTGCATGCCTTCCGACGCCAGCATACCAATGATTAGTTCGGCGGTTGCGTCCGATCTCATTCCCTGCGGCAAACGCCCTTCGGCTTCCGAGAGAGCTAAACGGATCGAGCCAGGTTGCTTGCTTTTGTCTGAATTATAGGGCGTGATGCGTGTTAGGGTTAGGGTAATCCGAAAGGACTCGGGATATAATTTGGGGGGTCAGGGTCAAAGGTCAAAGATGTCCTAAAGAGGGGAACTTCCCCTTCTTAATTAAGGTGAGGGAGGAAATGCGATTGCGGCCAAATCTCTAATGGCTCTGTGGCCGATTGAGGTCCGTCCCAACGTCTATAGTTATTGTCGGCGCGGCCTCACTCTCTCTCTTCTTTGAGAATCGGTTCTGAGGGGCGATTGAAAACACTTTTTTTTTCGCTGTGACTTACATTTTATGGCCTTTATATTGAAGTCATGAAATGTACTTTCGTGACCAGCGAAGCAGTAGTTGTTGATAACCTTTTCTTGACCCTTCAAAGAGGACGGTTTAAACATGGATTTGTTGACTTTACAAGGATGACTGCTTTGTCTATCGAGCCCCGTCTACCCGCATTCCCCTCACCCTCCCCCCACTCGCCTCGGTCGACGCATATCATGATAACACTAATGATTAATTCGAGTCATTAAAGTTGACACAGCCCTGTATCTTTATTATGTATTACCAGTAGGGTATAGAAAGTGATCATAGATTTTAGATCATGTTTAGTAGATAATCTGATATGTCTTGAGCGTCGAAGCAGGTGGTCAGGAGGCGCACTTCATTCGCTTCAGTGGTGTTTATCAGAGAATACTGGACTACCGTAATCGTCAGTTGCGCTGCGATCTGCGGCACTTGATTTTTTTTTTTATATTTAATGTATTTATCTTTTGATTTTTATTATATTTTAGCTCACTCATGACATTCAGATGAGATTGTAGAATCGCATGTTTGTCCGTCGTCCGTCGTCCGTCCGTCGTTGTAACAGTTGGGCACAATCATAAACGCTCGGAGTACGGAACGATTTCGGACATGGGGGGGATCTGTCAAACGGTTGGGATGTAGTTGTGTTGGGTCAAAGTCAGGTTCAAAGAGGTTAAAAGAAGGGGAATTCCTCCTTACTAAGGTTAAGGAGGATATGCAGAATTGCCCGCAAAATCCTAACGGCTGACCTAGGTGTGATAGTTGTGTATCAGCTCATTGTAAGGAAAAATGCCTACTGGGCGAATGGGGGTCACAGGTCAAGAAGTCAATTTGGGCACAGGGCGATTCTTAGACATTTTTAGGAAATTTTTTTGTTTCACTTTTTTGTAGTTCGCGGCTAAGCTTTTTTGGCATTTTTGAGGACCATTAATCCTTTCGGCTGATGCGAAGAGTAGTCGATACCTTTTGACTCAAGAGGAGGGTTAAACATAGGATTTTAACGTCTGTATAGAAGATTTGACTGCTGGGTTTGCTAGTAGATCTATACATGCCTGGATGTATGAGGGCTTCACGTCCCCAGTGAAATTTCAAAGCTAAATTTGGTTAAGTAAGGTTTATGCTCTTAAATAGTATATTTCGTTATGCATTCTTCTGTCAGTATTAATGTAACATATGCCGCAGTGGGTTTAGCCAGTTGCATGTATGTTGTGGTACTGTGTATTTCTTGCCTGTGTTACGTGATTGTCAAGGTGGCAGCTCTTGTTGCGCTGTAGGCTTGCGTAGGTAAATTGGTGAGTGTTACCTTATTCTGTTTGCAGAATAGTTGTTGTATACGGCCGATGAAGCGTCATGCTTTATTGAGACACTTAACGTCGCCCGATTCGTTGGCACTTTTCATACCTATTCCAACAACATTCCTTTGAGAGCGTTCTGTACCTTTCCTGTGCATTCACTGTTTCGGCATGTATGTGAACACATTTGGGACTAACAGGGTTTACTAGAATCCCACCACTCCACCACAGAGTCACCGCAGTAGACGTTAGATGAGCGCTGTCGCTCCGCGGCACTTGTTTACTGTTTGGGATGGCATGGCATGGCATGGCATGCGGTGCGATGGGATGGCATGGGATGGCATGAGATGGGATGAGATGGGATGGGATGGGATGGCATGGAATGGGATGGAAGCATGGATAGATAGATAGTTGGATGTTTTTGGGTATTTTCCTTTCAACCAAACGGTCACCAACTGAGTAACATCACTGATTTCCCCGGGCAACGCCGGGTATCCCGCTGGTCAGTAATATGTACACGGACAGGTCAGACTCTCCAGGGTGCGAAATTAACGGAGTCCGGAATCAAATACTCCCTGATTTACTGTCGGATTCCCTCATTTGACATATGCAGGAGTTCGTGTGACTCCCTGAAAATTCTGCTATACTAACTAGTTCGTTCCAGAACACCGCCTCACGGAATTACTGCGTATTTTTTCAGCAAATGTCCCAAGAAAATTTGGCAGACGCGCACTACAAATGTCCTGCAATGTCAATGTCCAAACGTGTAATCACCAGCGGGTGTTACAGATAGCCAGCGTGTGCCGCGCTTGCCGCTAGTGCGTACATGTATGGCCAGCAGCAGTGTTGATTGATGTACGGTCGCGATCGTTTCTGTGGTGCGAAGTGATGCGGAGTATGTTTATGACTGCGTAGGGATGTATGCGCCTGGATGCGCGTAGGATGTATGCGCCTAGGATGCCTGTATGCGCGTAGGATGTATGCGCCTGGGAGGGGAGAACGAATGTAAAACCCTTCCCGGTAGCCTCCCCATCCTATCAGTTTAAACTGTGGAGATTATTGAACTGTGTGTATTTGGCAGATAACAAGCATAGTACCAGAGTTGGATTCTGTTGGTCACATATGTTGAAGTACATGTATGACATTGCACGATGCTAAGTTTATAAACTTGATTTGTTAGAATGAAACCCACACTTTATTTTCGTTTGCAATAATTTCCATTTCCTTTTCTTTACCACGTTTGAACGTGGCTTTCTGAAATAAAAGTTTCCTTAAGATCAAGCCTTTGGGATTGTTCCTAATTTTAGACATTTCGTTTTATTTATCCAATTCTTAGAAAATAAGGACTGGTAGATTCTCATAAGGGCTAGTAGATTTATCTTTTGTGAGTCACTTTGATTACTTTTGACCCCTGCATTTAAGGGCGATCAATTATTGAGGCACATGTGGAGGCAGGTGTCCCTAAACCAAGATTTCTTGTTAGTTAAATTTTAATATAAAATCTTCAAAATAAGCACACGCATTATTGTTAATATCTTTATTTTTGCACTTCAGAATGCAGGCTCCCTCGTTTTGCTGCAGACTCCCTCTTTTTGAGGGCAGGGAGTCCGTTGGACTCTCTTGTTCAAAAGTTCATTTCTACCCCTGCTCTATCTGTTTTTATTTATTAATAATTATTTCTTGATTAATTTGTGAGACGATCGTTTTAAGTTTGGTGGTGTGAAGTGTTCCCCTAATATATTTTTCCTCATTTTCACTTGTTATAGATTGCTAACTTGCAAACTAACATTTAAATCACATTACCTGTTTCACAGTATAATGTTCAAACGTCTGCAGGTTGTGATTGCTTGTTTATTCATCTTTAATCAGAAATTGTGGTTTCTTTGCAGAAAGATGCCAAAGAGAAAGAGAGGTTTGAGAGAAGAATCCTGGAGGTACGTCTTGTTTGAAATTCCCTGATTAAATTTTGAGGTGTGGCTATTCCAAAAACAGTTAGATCACTTAGGCACTTCACTGAAAAAAGAGTGCCTGAAAGAGTAAAGTTTGATCTTTTTTTCTAGGAACTGCTTAAACTATTCAATGACTCGTTCTCCTTCTACTACTCACCCATTGCTGATTTGACCAACACTGTGCAGCGACAATGCAAGATGGCCAACAGTCATGAGCCTTTGCTATGGAAATGTGCAGACGATAGATACTTCTGGAACAAGCACATGCTACAAGATCTGCTAAGTAGTCCCCAGGTAGTTCTAACCAGTGTTTGAAATTCACGTCGGCCCGCCGCCGACAGTTTCGATGCCGGGCCTACAGCTTCTTGATACAACAGGCCCGCTGATCCTACAGCTATTTGATCGCCGAAAATTCGAAACACTGAGAAACTGTTACCTGTAGAAATCTGTTCATGCATATTAACTTCCAGTGGTATTTATTTGAAAACTAATCCGTGACATACATGTATACAATGCGTTCGCCCACTGCAATCAACTTTAGTTGGCATTCAAGAAACGTGCGTGGGATGTTCGGACGCACAGGTTAGCACAGGTTCCTGCATCCTGTAGCAGCGTTGGCATACCAAAAATCGATAAGAAGTGGGTGGAGCTTACTTTTGGCCAGTGGTAGTGAACCCTACATTGTGTTGGCCAGGGTATATTTACGTGCACGGGTCGTGCAGCACGCTCACTGTTCACGTGCACTAGGTTGTGGAGTAATTTTCACATCCGCGCGCATTTCACGTTTGGAGGTAAACAATCAAGTTAGTGGTATCACTGGTCGTTATTACAAACGATCAGTATACTGTTTTAAAATAATATTCAGAAGATTTAGATAATATATCATGTTGAATTATACAGTAAATAATAATAATTGTCTCAAGTTTTAACACACATGTCATAATTAAGTCACTGTAGCTGCAAAGCACGGCGTATTACTTACTAGTCATGCAAACAGCAGTACAGCCTCGTCCCACCACTCAGGTTTAACCGTGTCATATTGTTTTTAACGTTTGGAAAAACTATATACATTTATACAGGGTGTAGCTAAATAAAAGCTTCCCTATGTAAGAGCTTGTATGTCTACAAAATACATTTACTTTGGACACACTCAACACGGACAGAATTCCCCAGTGCCCATTAAAATTTTACAGTAGGTAAATTTTACATTATTTTTTCTTTTTCCACCAAAAAGTGTTGCTAGTTGTAAGCTATTGGAGTACCCTAAAATGGCTCTAGATTGCATCTCAGAGCTTATAATTTTCAAAAATGTTCTGGCACCCAGACCCCCATAGAAGTCCCCGATGTGTACCAGACTACCAGTCTGTCTCTCTGCTGTCAAAGTGGAAAGTCGTAGTTACCAAGGAGCTACATATAACAACGATGTGGCGTTTCCTTAATTGTGAGCCCCCGGCAACGAAGCATAAACAGTCATCCGACGAGAGGAAGGAAAAACAGAGGGATTATGATTATGGACATTGATAATGACTAATAAACATAAGGAAGAACATGATATGCTGTTTTATTACTGTAATTTGCTCCAAAATTAGCGGGCCTACAGCTTTGCTGGCGGGCCGGCAGCTTTTAGAAGCTATATAGGCCCTGCAGGCCTACAGCTTTTTCTGCTAAGTGGCAAACACTGGTTCTAACTAATGTCAAGATAACAACTGTAAGTCGTAACTAGTTTTGTACATTTCATTCACACCTGGCAGTCGTAATGCTTTAAGTAAATAATCTCTCTTTGATTTTGACCAGGATGAAGCACTGACAAGTCACTGGATAATGCCTATTATGCAAGGCTTTATCCAGATTGAGAGCTGTGTGCTGGACATCAGTGAGAATCACACACCAGAGGCTCCTGATGTGAGTCCTATTGACGCTCATCCTCTAATGCAGCCGGCTAGCTTCACCATCATTCTGATCTCGCGTAGAAGTCGCCACCGTGCGGGCACACGCTACAGACGCCGAGGAGTGGACGAGGGTGGCTATTGTGCCAATTATGTGGAAACTGAGCAGGTAATTGCCACCTGGAATTTAGTACAATTATTATTACAGTTTAATCATTTATATATTACTCATAGCTAAATTAGTACAGGCTTGACAGTTACCGTACAGTTATTAATAAATATTAGCAGCTCTGTTGTAGTTGGTAGCACTAAGGTGAACCATGTGTAACACAGATAGTGTAATCATAGGGAAAACTGACTAATAAATAAGGGATATTACTATGACTGTGCTGTATTACATTGCTTTAGACCTTACGCAGCATAGTACATTGCAATTAATGTGAGTGCTCCTATATCACTAATGTTATCTTGATTAACTCTAGAACCCAGAACTGGAACTAGAATTGGAACTGGAAAACTGGTCAAACGGAAGAACTAGTCTGTGTAACTTCAAAACAACCTTCTTCTAGATAATAAAGTTTGGAAAACATATAGCATCGTTCGTGATCATAAGAGGTTCAGTGCCGATATTCTGGAGTCAGCCTGGATACAAATATCGACCACCGCCACGGATAGATCGTTCTGACCAGGAGTCACAGACGGCATTCAAGAAAAACTTCAATATGGACCTTGCCATCTATGACAAGATTTGCGTAGTCAGTCTCGTAGAACAGACTGGCAAAGAGAAGGTAAGGTTTGTGTACATTTGTTATATTAATTAAACATCGCAATATCCTCTGGACAGAGATTAATAGCAACTGTATTATCTCTGACATGTGCAGGTGATGGCGGATGCGTACATGCAGCACATGCTGCTGCAGGACAGAGATTAATATAACAACTGTGTTACAGGTGATCGCGGATGCGTACATGCAGCACATGCTGCTGCAGGACAGAGATTAATATAACAACCGTGTTACAGGTGATGGCAGATGCGTACATGCAGCACATGCTGCTGCAGGACAGAGATTAATATAACAACCGTGTTACAGGTGATGGCAGATGCGTACATGCAGCACATGCTGCTGCTGGACAGAGATTAATATAACAACTGTGTTACAGGTGATGGCAGATGCGTACATGCACCACATGCTGCTGCTGGACAGAGATTAATATAACAACTGTGTTACAGGTGTGCACCGTGCGTTACGGGTGATGGCAGATTGGCGTACATGCAGCACATGCGTGCCTGCTGACAGAGATTAATATATAACAAACTGTGTTACAGGTGATGGCAGATGCGTACATGCAGCACATTGGCTGCTACAGGACAGAGATTAATATAACAACTGTGTTACAGGTGATGGCAGATGCGTACATGCGCACATGCTGCTGCAGGACAGAGATTAATATAAGCACTGTGTTTACAGGTGATGGCAGTATGCGTACATGCACCACATGCTGCTGCTGGACAGAGATTAATATAACAACTGTGTTACAGGTGATCGCAGATGCGTACATGCAGCACATGCTGCTGCAGGACAGAGATTAATATACAACCGTGTTACAGGTGATGGCAGATGTCGTACATGCAGCACATGCTGCTGCAGGACAGAGATTAATATAACAACTGTGTTACAGGTCTGATGGCAGATGCGTACATTGCAGCACATGCTGCTGCTGGACAGAGATTAATATAACAACCCGTGTTACAGGTTGATGGCAGATGCGTACATGCAGCACATGCTGCTGCAGGACAGGATTAATAACAACTGTGTTACAGGTGATGGCAGATGCGTACATGCAGCACATGCTGCTGCAGGACAGAGATTAAATAACAACTGTGTTACAGGTGATGGCAGATGGCGTACATGCATCACATGCTGCTGCTGGACAGAGATTAATATAACAACTGTGTTACAGGTGATCGCGGATGCGTACATGCACCACACTGCTGAGCTGCGACAGGAGATTAATATAACAACTGTGTTACAGGTGATCGCGATGCGTACATGCAGCACATGCTGCTGCTGGACAGAGCGATAATATAACACTGTGTTACAGGTGAGTGCAGATGCGTACATGCACCATGCTGCTGCTGGACAGAGATTAATATAACAACCATGTTACAGGTGATGGCAGATGTGTACATGCAGCACATGCTGCTGCAGGACAGAGATTAATATAACAACTGTGTTACAGGTGATCGCGCGATGCGTACATTGCGACCAATGCTGCCTGCTGGACAGCGGCGACGTGGCGTACGTGTCGTTCGACTTCCACGAGTATTGCCCGCGGCATGCGCGATCGAGACAGTCTCCGTGCTCGTGTCGCGCGTCGATCGAAGACGAGGTGTCGGCACGATGCGCTTACTGCTGCGCGACGACGCCGGCATGATCTGCGAGCCAGCAGGGTGTGTCCGCGTAAACTGCATCGACTGCCTCGACCGCCACCAATGTCCGTGCAGACGCGCGCTCGCCCGGGCTGTCATGAGATACAGCGTGTGAGCTTGACGAGGCAGAGCGCGGTCGAGTTTTTTTTAATCCTGTGGTTGTTGCTATTTTACGTAGCATTTAAATACGTAAGAATGTATCTTTATTGACGTATTCATGGTAGCGTGTGATTGATTGGCTCTGACTGATTGACACTGCTAGTCACTCGCTGTTTTTCTGGACGTTGTGGGAGGTTGTAAGTCGAAATTTGTGCATGTACACGCTACATATTACAAACTCGGTGCCACTTGACCACCTTAGCATGAATATCCAATGGGAGCATGGTTATCTGTGCGCAGATGGTTAGGGCAATTAAACCTAGTGCTGTTTAACCATTGAAGAGGTTTGTAATATATCGTCAATAAATACAGTGTGTGATGCTAGGAATAGTGGCCTCAACTAAGTAGTCTTTAGTTACGTAGAGGTATACGGTAGCAATGCCTCTCCACGAGACGGTAGCGGCATTCTAGGCATCCAGGTTCAACTATATATGCTTAATTAATGTATTTTCGTGCAAATACTTCAGTTTCGAAAGTTTGGACTGTTGCCACCTGACGAAGTGCTGCCGCCTAGCTGTAGTTCCTGTACCAACAGCTTTGGGCAGACAATCGGGGACGTGCTTAGCCATCAATATGCTGGAACTGCTGCACTAAAAGGGACTACACTAGGACAGGTGAACGACGCTTCGCTGGTCTCATGAAGGATGGTTACAACTCGGCTAATAGTAGAAGTAATGTATTTAATTAGAAGGTGTACACATACAGGCTGTTACTTAACTTTTCATGGTTAGTAGAATGGTTTAAGAATTGCACTTTATCGTGCCTGTTTTAAATAAGTGAGAAATACACTCTCAGCACAGAACAATGTATTGTGGGTTACCTCTAGCTGTGCATGCAACAAAACGAGAGAGCACAGCGCTTTTGTGGCCAGGTGGTATATAACCGCCATCTATCTGCACACACAGGTACTACCTAAATCGATTCAAGGACGCCTACAGACAGGTGACCGATAGATCTGATGTTGCATTGCTGTGAGTGAAGACATGCAGCCGCGCTGAGCAGCACAGACTCGCTAGCATGAGCAGAGAGTGCAGTGGATGCTGCACAAGAACGAGCACATGATGCAGATCATCAGTGAGTCATCATGCACAATCGTTGATGACTGGCGGCATAAAACGCAACGCTAAACGCTCTTATTTACGTTTGCTATTTACTGCCATCGTTTCGTGTGTGGATCCGCTTAACTATATGTATATTATATTAATATCAAGGAGCTAATAAATAACCAGAGAGACCGTGTACAAGATGGCGTTGCGCAAAAGATGCGTTGTTACCCCCGAACCACGCCGAGCAGCAC